GCTGATCCTTATTCCATATCACGATAACCATCTAGACCATATGGGCATATCCTTTTATCAAAATCATAGATCTATAATATAGGCATTTCAATGTAAATAATAGTACTTCAAAATGCAAAATAATAGCAATAGCAATAATAACCAAGTTAGAGATGAAATAATAATGGTAGAATGTTGGTAATTTTTTAAGCTGGATGATGGGCATATGGAGTTTGGTTATATTATTCTGCTTCTTTCATATATGTTTGCTATTTTCCATAATAAAAAGTTTTTAAAAAGAAAAGAAAGATTTCCAGGATATAGCCGAAGTAGTATTTAGAAGGAATTTTCTAGCTTTAAGTGACTATATTAGAACATAAGAAAGGTTTCCAGTTTTAAGAATTAGAAAGAGCAACAAATTAAATACATAGAAAGTAGGGGTGCCTGGGTGGCTCAGTAAGTTACGTGTCTGCCTTCAGCTCAGATCATGATCCTGGGGTCCTGGGATGGAGCCCCATATGTGAGGCACCCTGCTCAGTGGGAGTCTGCCTCTCCCTCTTCTTCTGCCCCTCCCCACTGCTCATGCTTTGCTTGCTCTCTGTCTCTCTCAAATGAATAAATTAAAAAATCTTTTTAAAAACCACAGAAAGTAGAATGAAGGAAATAGCAATATAAATCAATGAAATAGAAAGTACACATACACTAGAGAAAAATCAGCAAAACCAAAAATTGATATTTGGGAAAGATTTTAAAAATCAATAGTCCTCTAGCAAAACTGATCAAGAGGGAGAAAACACAAATTATCAATATCAAGAATGAAAAGGGGGCATCACAATAGATCCCAAGGCTACTTAGAAGATTGCATGAACATATTAGGTACATCTTTGTGCCAGTCAGTTTCACAGCATATATGAAATGGACAATTTTCTTTTAAGCCATAACTTACCAGAAGTGGTACAAAAGGAAATAAAAGGTTTGAATAGTCCACTATCTCTTCCAGAAATTGAACCTGTAATTTATACAAAGAAAAGAGTAATAGGAATCTATTTAAAGAGATTTAAGGAGAAAACTGACAAGATCAGATTCTATTTTGAAAAGACCACTTTGCAAAATGGAGAAAAGATTTGAGAGTGATAAAAGTAGATGTGGAGAGAGTAGTTAAAAGACAATTACCAGTGGTTGCCAGGGATTAGGGAGAGGGAGGTATGAATAAGTGAAGCACAGAGGATTTTTAGGGCATTGAAACTATTCTGCATGTTACTATTATGGTAGATACATGTCATTATACATTTGTCAAAGCCCACAGAAAATACAACACCAAGAGTGAACCCTAATGTAAACTATGGACTTCGGGTGATAATGATGTATCAAGGTGTCCATCAGTTATGACAAATGTACCACTCTGGTTCAGGATGTTGATAGTGGGGGAGGCCATGTGTGTAGTTTGGGCAGCGGGCATATGGGAACTCTGTACTTCCTATTCAATTTTGTTGTGAGCCTAAAATGGCTTTTTAGAAAATTACTCATCTTTATAAAAAAAAAAAAAGATAATTGCATTAGCTCTAGTGGAAGTTGATGGTGGTTTGGAGCAGGATGGTAATAGTTAAAATAGAGGAAAAGAACATTGGAGGTTGAAGGAGCATGGAAAAATCTCTGAAGTATGAGTTGTAGAAAGCAAACTAACAAAGTATAATGGACTTAAAAGACAGTGGTAAAGAACATTTTAAGAAGAAAAACATGAATTTATAGTAAAAACAATATACCTTATTGCATGACTTTCTGCCACAATACTTAGCTATTCGAGTGCGGGCACAGAGAAAGTCAAGAGTTAAGATTGTCCAAAATCTGAATTTTGAAGATATGTTTGACCAGAAAGTGAGAAATAAGAATGTGTTCAAATGATGGCTTATGGAATCTAAAATTAACACAAAAGAAGACAAAAGAAGAGTTCGTGGGTTGGAAGAAAGCAGAGATCAGTAGGCAGGAAGACCTGATGTAAAATACAGGCACAGGTGAAACAAAAGGAGGATACAGTCAAGAGTATGATGTCTGAATCTATGATTTTGGAGGCAAAGCATTTTCAGTAGCAATTAGAGATGATGACAGAGCCCAGGGTATAATAACAGTAGTGGGTGGCCAAAGTAGAATGGAAAAAAAAGATGATTAGAGATTACATGGCAAAAAACAAAGTAACCGAGGTATTAGGTGGCACAGGAAATATGCCAGACAGTTGTAGATGGTGGTGAAGAGCATGAGCCTGGGAGATACAGCCTGATTTTCCTACATACACTTTTGCAGAAATTAAGGCCCTAAAGGGATGTTGAAAGTTATCAGTCCTTTGGCCTTCTGACTCCAACTGTTTGCCTTTCAACAACATCCATCTCCATCTCCAAATCACAGCATCTCATCTGATCCCTGGGATACACCCTGTCCACAGGAGCCCACTGTGCAGGGCTCCTTTCTATAGCTGGCTCACCAAGATCTGCTTTCCAGTCTGGCTCCTAGTATCCAGTCCCAACATTTTAACATCATGAAGGCACATAAGTGGTCAAGGCAGTGTTGGACACACAGTGATGGCCCAATGAGTTCTATCTCCTGCTTTATAAAAGTACTAGAAAGGAATTGGGGCCTTTCACATGATAAATTCTGGAAAACTCTGGCCTTGTCCCTAGAGCTGAGCTGCTATCTGCACCTGACATGGCCACATGAGTCAGTAACAGGACATGTAAAAAGATGTTATGAGAATAACGGGAGCCAGTTTTCTCACTGTTTAAGAATGGAGTCACAGTATGGAAAGGGGAAAGGACAAAATTAACTGTGGCATTCAGTTCTAATTAGAAGCATTACTGTAAATTCACGGTTTTAGATAGATGATAGATAGATTTGAATAAAATTTAAATCGGTACATGCACATTGATATAAATAAATGAATAAATAAATAAATAGTAGAAAAGGTAAGGCTCTTTCTAACAACACCAACTGATAAACACAGAAAGAATACTGGAGTTAGAAAATCAATGGGTACCTCTAAAACCAATATAAGACATTATGTGTTAATTAATTGAAATAAAATTTTAAAAATGTTTTAAAAAGAGAGAAAAAAAAGAAAATCAATGGGTCCTAAAACTAGTGAGCAAAAGTTTGATGAAAAACAAGATATTTACACAAACTTAAAGTATCAGTTTACAGATTATGTGCTAATTACAATGGGAAAAAGACAGTAACTATACTGGAGAGATTTAGTAGATTTTGAAACTACCTAAACCAAGTAATCAAAATTAACATCACAATGTGACAATTGATATTGTATGCCTCCTGATAGAAAGTACTGAAAAGTATAACATCACTTTTGTAGTATTCTGGCTGAAGATGCATAAACTAAATCTAACCACAAGGAGCATGGGATAAACCCAAATTGAGAGACTATCTACCAAATCACTGATCTGAGTTCTTCCAAAAATACCCAGGTGAAGAAAAAACAAAGAAAGGCTGAGAAACTCTTCCAAATGAAAGGCACTAAGGAGACATGACAACTAACTATAATATGTGATCCTGGATTGGAAACTGGCCTGGGGAAAATTAGCTATCATTTATTTTGACCATTAATAAAATTAAAATATGGACAATAGTTATATATTATTATATCAATGTTCAATTTTCCAATTTTGATAATTACACCAGAGTTACATACAAGAATGCCTTTTAAAGGAAATACACACTGATGTATTTAGAAGTTAAAGGGTGGGATGTCTACACCTTACTTTGAAATGGTTCAGAAAAAATAATATACATAAGCTTACAGAGAATGAAAAGTAGGCAAAATGTGAACAATTGCTTTATCTGGGTAGGGTATACAGGAATTCCTTGAATTATTCTTGCAGCACTTCTATAAGTTTGAGACCATATCAAAATCAAAAATTACCCAAAAGTCATGGACACATTATATCTTGGGTCAATACCTATCTTATTTCCCCTAAGTTTGACCCCGTTAGGCACCTGACTTTGAAGTTAGCTCTCTGTTTAGCATCCTGGATCATCAAACCAGTGTGGGATTGCCTATTCTAGCTCTGACATTGGTCGCCCTTCTGATTTCATCTCTCATTATTTTAGTGTCAGCGCCAAGCATCGAAACCACACCTAAGAGAAATACCAAATCACAGTATCTCATCTGATCCCTGGGGTACACCCTGTCCACAGTAAGCCACATATCTCCCATTTCCTCCTCTCCTTTGTTTTCTCACTTGTACAGTGCTTGGGATGTAGAAGGTGTCTGATTCATACCTGTTGGATTGATTTGAACTTGCCTGCTTCATAGATGTGAAGAAATCCATTATTACTTTCTAAAACTCCCACTCTTCTGAGTCTGAAGGAACCACAGACAGTCTCTGTGAATCTTTTATAGACTCAAAGCTCAAGAAGGAGCCAAGATTTTAAACAATTTGAGTGGAATCCTCCTCATCCCTGCCTTATCTACACACTGCTCCCTTAAACAAACCACCCAAGGACTCTTTAAACAAAATCAGTGGGACTTGGGAAATCACCATTTTTCTTATGCAAGTCATAATTACAAGATTACTTTTCTAGGCCTGGCAACTGGAGATTCTGAATGATTATGGGATATGTACTTAATAATAATCATAATAGCAACCATTTTACAAAGAAGTTATATATCAGGAAATGCACAAGATGCTATACGTGTATTATCTCTTTTAATCCTCATGTCAACCCTGGAAGTAGACATTAATATACTTCCTTTACAAAGAAGGAAAGTAAGACTCAGGGGTTTAGGTGACTTGCCTAAGTTAAAATAGCTCTTAAGTGGGTAGAGCTAGGAATGGAATTCTTCATGTCTCTTTGACTTCAGAGTCTATACTTCTGCCATAGCATTACATGGTCATATCAAGACAGTCGCAGTATTCCCCACACTTACTTGTTAAGGGTCTTCCTAACAGCTGGTGTTAGTTACTTCGGAGAAAGGATTGGTTTTAGTGGGAATGTACATAAACAAGGATTTCTCATACCATTTCAAACATATCACTTGCACTGAATTTGATGGACTTAAGGTCTCCAAAACCTCCAAAGGGGAATTTTTTCAGCCACACCCCATCACCCTAGAAAGAAAAGGCAGAGAAGAGTGATGAGATTTAGTTGCCAACAGCTCTAGAGCAATATCCCTTCCATATGAAGGGTTTATAATCAGACCATCAACTCAAACAGGCTTTGTTCTTCCTCCATCACACTCCACCACATGGACACACTGTATCTGAGCTAAAAATGAGGTCACGCAGGGACACCAGGGTGGCTCAGTCGGCTGAACATCAGACTCCTAATTTCGCCTCAGGTTATGAACTCAGGGTGGTGAGATCAAGCCCAGCCTCAGGCTCCATGCTCCTCATGCTTGAGTTTCTTTCTCCCTCTCCCTCTGACCCTCCCCCCCAATCACTCTCTCTCTCTGTCCTAGTAAATAGATAGTTGGTAGATAGATAGATAGATAGATAGATAGATAGATGATAGATAAATCAAATCTTTAAAAAGGAGGTCATGCAGAGAAGTAAAAGGTAAAAATTCCAGTTAACTAAAGACATGGAAACCACAGCAGGTAGGCAGACTTCAGAAAAGGAAAGTTATCACTCTCTGCAATGACTCCTTTCACTAACTGTAGAAAGTGCCAGGTCATTTCACTTATTCATAGCTAAGTGATGTAGTACTGGGTTCGCCATGATTAATGATGATGGTTGGTGGTTGCAATTGTTACTGCCTTCAGGCATCCTTGGTGGGAGATGTAATGCAGCAAATGTTTTCTGCATTTACCTTGCTCCATTTTTCTCCTGTGGGACAGGCCATTTTGGGGGCCTCTTATGCTTCAATCATAAACCAGTTAGCTTTAGTGTAGATTAAACATTTCTTATTTGGATGCACAAATGTACTACCTTAGTAATATGAGTCACCTAGACCCTTTCAGAAGTCTATTTCTGACTTTTTAAGTACAAAGCCGCTACTTCTAAGGCTGCTGTCAAAAACAATTATTTTATTGTCTTTACTTTAACATCAGCAACTGATTGATAATTTTCTTCTCTGTTCATAGTCTCAAGGACTAATCAGTCATCAAGCCCTATTTCGTTTCTGTCCGACCCAAACTTTTTTAGAAAAGCAATACAAATATGGATTCCTTGTTCTCCCTGATAATAATAATAATGCCTTGCATTTGCACAGCGCACTTTACCCTTCAAAGTGCTTTCACATCTATTACCTATAGCCTGGAGAGTCCATTTCAGGCTGCACCAATTTGTCGGCAAGGAGAGATAATAAAGCAGAGAGCTCTGTGCAGTCAAATTCCAGGAAGAGAGTGTAAGCATTCTCTTATTAAGGAATATATCCAGTTGTGGCACTGCATCTGGAAACCTGCCAGAGTCAAAGGCTAATAACGGGAGCTGCGGGCATCTGAGTTCCACACCCACACTCTGGGTTAGAGGGCATCTTCGAGCCAAGAAGCTTGAAACCCTTTAACTAGGGAATGGCTCTTGGAGGTCTTTGGCAGCTGAGCAGAACTATGCCAGCCAGGCTCAGTGCCCACAGAGTCCAACAAGGTTAGTCCAGGATCCGCACCTGCCTGCAGCAAAATGGCCAAGCATGAAAGGCAGCCTTCCTGGTCTCTTGCTGGGAAATTCTCTGAGCCTGGTCCCAGGCCAGCTGCATCACGGTCACCTGGGAACTGGTTAGAAAGGCTGAGTCTCAGGCTCCACCCCACACTTAACTTCCTTAATCATAGGAGTCAAGAGGGACAGACCCGAGCTCAAGCTCGAAGGCTTAGCCTTCAGGGGACTTTGCCCTCTACAGGGATCAAAACCAAGGTTTCAGCCAAAAGACAAAAATTCTAACTGGGAATTCACAAAACCAGCAAACATGCGGGATATAGTGGTGGGCAATAAAGCCTTTCCAGCACCTTTGCAACCATTTTCCATGGCCCCTGGTCACTACTAGCTGTTAAGTCACCTTTGTGCTAATTAGAAAGGGTGTTTTCCCACAAGGAACAATGAATAAACAAATCAACATGTGAGAATATAATTTTACAGCTGGTGGCAGCTGGGCGATGTTGGGCGGCAGCCCTGGTTGAAAACATACATGCATGTGCCACGCCCTCATTTACTCTTACATCCTCCAGATACCAGGGAACACATTCCACTGGCAGCATGGCTGGTCTGCATACCACCAACCCCTGCCTGCCAGGTGGAGCCTCTTTGTCAGGTTTGGAGTCAGGCTGTAGAAGTGGAGGAGAGAAGCTGAAATTGGACCTCCAAGAATATTAGGCAGAAGAAAGGAGTAACCTCAAAAAACTCCTGGGGAATAGTCAAGGTAGCATATAATCAGGTGTACATATGTTTTATTTTACCAGTGGCTATGTACGTGCATAGTCGAGTGTACAGATATAAATGTAGCTATGAGAACTAACCCCCACTGCCTTGTTTCTGAGCTAGGCTGGAGGTCAGAACCTCTCTGCCCAACCCTTCACCACTCTAAGTTAGTACATGTCTGTAATGTGAATAGTACCCTCTTAAATACACGTGCCCTTGTGCAGTGCACAACCTGAACATCAGGACTGGCAACCCTAACTCTGCCTCTAACCAGTACCTGATACTGTCTTCCTGGAGTCAGCTTTATTGTAGAGAGGATTTAGCCTCTCTCTGGCTGGTTACCTTTTAGAGATCATTAAGCCGAGCCTTTACTTCCCCCCAGCCAAATCATCAAATTTGAGAGCTGGAAAGGGTCTTGGGTAACCCTGTTCTAATCCCTTCGTATTTTGGTAAAGAAACTGAAGTCTAAAGAGATGAAGTGACTTGCCCAAGGTCAGAAGGCTAGGTAGTAACAGAACCAAGGTCTTCCCTTTTCCACTTTCTACTTTATTGCTCTTTTCTCTCATGGCTTTCTTTGGTTTGGGGGATTTGTGTGTATTTATTTTAAGATTGAAATAGTTCTCACAAACTTTATAAGCAGATTTTTATTGAGTCTGTGTGTGTTCTACTTCATGAATAATGAGGAAAAGGAAGGAAACAGGCAGGTTTTATCTTCACCACACATGCATTATTTGTTTTGTTTTTTCTTTTAAGAGAGAGAATGATAAAATACTTCATTCATCATTCAGTTTTTAATTAAGAGGAAGAAACATCCAACTCTAGCCACTAAAGTTTTTAGAAGTAATTTAAAGTCCATCAGTTTTGCACTAAGGCTGTGGAGCATTAACTAAGAGTCAAGAGAACTAGGTCCTGGATCTGGCTGTGCCTCAAATTCAGGGGTGGCCTCAGAGCAACCACTTCCTTGGTCTGAGCCCCAGTTTTCTAATGGACAGAGCTAGACAATTCTGTGATGAGAGAAGTGGTTGGTGGAAAGGAGACGGTGGGGGTGTGTGGAGACAGCTCTAGGAGATATAGAAGAAGGTGGGAAAATAGAAGAAAAAAGGCTCTGGGAAAGGAAGATGATGGGGAGGCTGTGCGGGGAAAGGGGTGAGAGAAACGAGACAAAGAGGAAAACAACTAATCTTGACTTCATGGTGTGGTATTATTCTCACTAACACCCTTCTTTTGTGCAGATAAAGGCTCCCTTTGGCTTCAGTTGAGAAATCCTCATGCTCTGACTGAGCAATAGTCATTATGGGAACTAACTCAACTCTCTGCCTCCTTCTAAGAGGTGGAAATATCTGACAGATTCTTATAAGCCAGTTATGTACAGATGTTTACTTTTTCCCTTTCTCAATTCTACACTATAACCTTCTGTCTCCACCAAACAAAACATACCACAACTCGATACATAAATTCTTCCACAGCATCAGAGAGTCATATAGCATATCTGAGTCAGAAGAGGCCTTTGAGATCTCTTAATTCATCCATCCCCAGCCCTGACTATACACATAGGGAATCTTGAAAAAAATTCCAATGCCTGAGCCCACCCCATACCGACCAAATCATAGTTACTAGTGGCAGAGGCTAGACACAGGTATGTTTTTCAGGTTTCCATGGAGATTCCAATGAGTATCCATGATTAAAAATTTGGTTCAACCCCTCATTTTACAGTTAAAAAACCAAAAGACCACCCTAGATTACTGAAATTTATTTCAGAATCTTAGCAGTGTCCATATACTCATAAAACCATCAGCCCACTGCATTTGACATTTAAAAGCTCTGTGATTATCTTGGTTTTGGTCTTTGAGAGAGTAGAGCTGTCAATTCCCCAAAACCACAAGTTTTACACTTGAAGCAAAGCTCCTCTTTGAGTCAATGAGCTTCGAGGCAAGATCCGGAGGTTTCCTGCTTCAAATTTAAGTCAGAGCCCTCAGGTACACTGAGCAAATATAAACCATGCCAATCTTGGCATTTTAGGCATCTGGCAATTATTTGGCCAATGGAGGAGAGCACTCACTCGGAAAATTCAATATGTTAGACAGTCAAAAAACTCATTCTGTCCTGTTTTGGACTTTCTTTGTAGTTACTATTGACATTGAAAGTGTTTGCTGCTTTTTGGAGTATCTTCAAACAAAACAAGGAAAGCACACTGGGAAGGCATCACTTAGGAGGGACTAGTTTCCCTCTTACCCCCTGCTTAACTCTTTCCTGCTGAGAAGAAACAGTTCATCTCTCCAGCTGTTGCAAGATTTGTTCTGGTTGCCAAATTCCAGTATCTAAGAACAAGGGGCCACGAGTGGCCTCTTAAACTTGAAAGACAGAAACTTAAGTGAAATTAAAAAAAAAAAAAAAAAAGATTTCCATTGTACACAGCAGAAAGTCACCTGTTACTCCAATAGAGAGCACAGGCTGAGGAAAAAATGAAATAATTTCTAAAAGATTTCAATAATATCAGAGGATAGCAGGTATAGGAAGAACAACTAGAATTTGAAGGGAAGGGTTTGCCCAAAACTTTACACAAACATATTTCTAGACATTCCATCACAAACAGGTGACTCAGGAAGTCAGGAAGTCATTTCTTCTATTATTATACGCTATCTTCTAGAATGAATGACATGATAAACTGCATGGATCTGCCGACTTTTTTTTTAAGGATTTTAATTGTTTTTTTAATTATTTATGACAGAGAGAGATAGTGAGAGAGGGAACACAAGCAAGGGGGAGCTGGAGAGGAAGAAGCAGGCTCCCCACTGAGCAGGGAGCCTGATAGGGGGCTCGATCCCAGGACCCTGGGATCACGACCCAAGCCAAAGGCAGATGATTAACTGACTGAGCCACCCAGGCACCCCCTGACTATTTTTTCACATGCACAATAAATAGATGGATTTGAAAGATTAATGAAATTATAAATAAGTAGATCAGTTGCTGAGGAAAATCATTGTCCAAAAGCTTAGTGAAACAAGTCCATGAGTGGATAGCAAACAAAAAACTGGAAAGATTTTCCAAAAGTCTTAATATTTTTACCCAAAGACTAAGTCCTAAATCACTGTCTCATTTTAAAAACCAAGATGGCAGCAGATAAGATAGCTGTTGGATAGCCTACCTCGTAAATGGATATGTTGGAGTTTTCATAGGTAGCTGGAGTTAGACTCCCTGAGGAAAAGGGGAACCTTGGAAACCTTCCACTTTGGACTTCTGAGGTGATCTGAAAGCTTACACTGGTGCAAATTCCTCTCTGTGAAAGGATTAGGGAAAAAAGGTTATAAACAAAACTCCCATGATTTAGGACAAAGCAATGAACTGTGGTATAGATACTGCTCTCATCTGGCTTTCCTTTTTCTTTTTTTTTCCTCAGATAGTAACTATATGAGTTGAACTTTGTAAACATGAGATTAATTTGCCCATCCCCCAGCACAACTTTTTTTAGGCTAGGTTTGTTATCATGCTTCACCTCTGTATATCATGAAAGAAAGGTAAATGTTCGCAGGTACCTCCATCTCCTAGAAAGGATTTGATCTCTGATTTGGGGGACACTTGGGTGGCCAGTCAGTGAAGCATCTGCCTTTGGCTCAGGTCATGACTCCAGGGTCCTAGGATCAAGTGAGGAGTCTGCTTCTCCCTCTCCTTCTGCCCCACACTTCTCCCTCTCTCACAGACTCTCTTTCTCTCTCAAATGAATAAATAAAAAAATGTTAAAAAAAAGGAATCAGAAATTTGGGGGGGCAGAGAAGAACACCAGTCATAATTTAATCTGGGATCCTCTATAGACAAAAATAAGAACACAAGCATCTAACATTTTGGAAAAAATCAACAGCAGAACTAGCACATAATCCCTCCCTTCTGGCTCTCACGCCTGGCTCCTTTTGTTATACCATCTTGAATGGCAGCCTTCGTTGTGCAGGCAAGATTAATGGCAGAAGGTATCCCAGAAAGCAATAAGACAGTAGAGAGTGAATAGATCATCTGCCCATGATTTATGAGTCTGATGCTTAAACAGACCAAGTTCCTTATTCCTTGATTTGTTAACCTGTACACATGAGTCTGGTAAAAGAGGACCAGGAAGTGCACCGTTGAACCAAGAGGAAGACTTATCTGTAATCTGTAGTAACCTTTAAAATCGACCAGCTTTATCTTCAACTAAACCAGCAGACTTATTTCATAAGAAAAAAATCATAAATTAACATGTTCCTCATATTCTTCTCCATGTCTCCAAATGTGCCTTTCTTGAAATTACAGTAATTCAGAGCTATTATTGTGTAGTCTAGCCCCCACACCCCTCAACTCTAACACCCTCATTTTACAACAAGGAAATATAGACCTAGTGAGGGCTATAGGCACTGGAAGAGGAACATGGATGTTACCATTCCCAGTCTTGTGTTTTTTCTAATGCACCACGCTCTGTTTCACTCTTGCTTGCCAATAAAAATGAATCTTAAATACTTTCACATACTCTGCTCTTAATGGTCTTTGATAAACTGAAGATAACTAGTCGATTTAGCCCCGAGTTAAGTTCATTCTATCAAGACAAGACTATCACGAAGTTCCAAGGCACTAGTAAACTATACCAGCTCCTAATGTGTTGAAATCCCAACAGCTCGTGATTCAGACAACATGTAAAACTTGACTCTTCACATAACCCTTGCATCAACCTGAACTCTCCTCAACAGAGCGAGGCCAGGGAGGAATCTACTTCTCTTTCATTCTTTATTTTCATATCTCAGCAGGAGCACCTAGATCTGTATATTGAGACATAGACCCCTGCGTGAAGGGGCACAGGAGAAAGCGAGAGAATCTGCCAAAATCCACATACATTTGGACTTCAGCTTTACTTTCTTCTAAAAACTTCCTTTCCTGACCTGACTTCTACTGACCTGCCAATTTTTCTGGACTGGATTAATTTTATATTCACCAAGAGTTTATACTTTCAGACATTCCATTTGGATGGAATTCTTGGCTTGGCTTCTTGACTGATTAGACACAACCAGCTGCAAGTTTGTGACCACACAGTGATTTAGGAAAATGTACACTTCCCCTACCTTTTCCTATCAGAAACTGATACAAGCCAAATGCCAAAAAGGATCTGGAGTTCAAGAACTATGTTCTAGAATAATGCCATCCTTTTCCACCAGGGCCAAAATAGTAAAAAAATAAAATAAAATAAAATAAATATTCCCTATAAGGCTATCAGTCCCTGTTGCTCTTCATTTTTCTCACTTAATGCAGTGAAAAGTGATTATTGGTTGTGGGTTTTTTTTTTCTCTCTCACTACGTCAAAATGTATGCACAAGTTAATGAAGGATCTATCATCATGAGCAAGATTTTAAAAACTTGGGTACTTTGTTCATCTGAAAGTAGCCCTATTCTGTTATCTTTGGGGATTTCTTGGAACGCTGTACGAAATCCAAACATGTTTTGTGTCTCAGTAGGAAAGAGAGAAGGGCAGGGGGAGCTTTTCCACACTTCACTGGGCTATTGCAAGGCCTCTGCAAAGAGAGAGTTAATTCAGCCCGAAATCGATCTGTGTTTGTTGCTTTGACACTTGAGAGCCAAAACTTTGAGGCAATGGACATGAACTGAATACCACCCCAGAAGTGGGATTTTTAAAAACAGGTTTATTGCTCTTGACCACTTTAGTAAACATTGCTATGTTTAGAAAGATGACTTCTAATCACCTGCTTTTACTACAGATTACCCATTTCTGGATAAAATATCTTGGCATAGAAGTAACTACTTGTTTTCTCAGTATCAGGTTATCTATCAGAGCTTGCACTCCAGTATCTGCCTCTTCTGATGAAGGTGAGAAATTTCATATGAGGCATATGGGGTATGACAAATCCAGACAAATTCTACCAACCTGAGTGAGTTCCAGGGTCTTCTGGTGGCTTCAAAAATAGAGACTAACATCAGTACATCTTTACAGCATGAGAGTGAAATGTAGCTTTCAGCCACAATGATAATTTTGGCATTTAGCAGTACATTTCCAGGAACATGATATCAACCTTACAAAAAAAAAATTAGATGACTAGAACAAATCAGAGTTAGGGTTGTAACTGAGAGTTAAGGTAAACAGCTGAACATTTCATCTGATTCCAACTGCACAGAGTATTGCCATGTAATCCCATCATCACCCAGCCAACTAGTTCAAGTATACCTTTCTCTGCCACGTTTACGCAAATGATCAGTTTGGTCACAGAGATCCTGAATTCTCAGACCTGGTATACTGGTTTAGTAAAAGTAAATGTCACATGGGGACAAATAGGATGTGTTTGCATTCTCTCCTTACATCCTGCTACCACTATACTAGAATTTGGACAAGCAAATGTCTTCATTTTGGCCACATAGACTGGGCAAAAAGAGACAACCTCTCCTGTTACTACTACAGTTGACAAAACTCTTCCTCATGCTTTCTTTTTTTCCAAGCTTTTGTTTATGCTGTTTTCTCTGCCTACTGGGGTCAGGAAGGTAAATACAAATTGGTCACATAGACCAAATGTAAGATAGTAGAGAGTGATGGCAAGTGGGTCAAAATGCAGAGAGCATGCTTCTTCCGAAAAGGGCAACTACTACTGAGTCCTGAACAATTGCCATGATAATACCCAAGGCTGACAGATCTTCCAGCCTTTATAAAACACCCAGAGGGGAGTGTGGGTGGCTCAGTCAGTTAAGCATCTGCCTTTGGCCCTGCTTCTCCCTCTGCCTGCTACTCTCCCTGCTTGTACTCTCTCTCTCTGTCAAATAAATTTTTAAAATCATTTAAAAAAATAAGAAAATTAGAAAATTAAAATACCCAGAAATCCAGGTCTTTATGTGCAATCTCCCAATTTCAAAGTTCTGGCCGCTATTTTTTATAACTATAAGGGTGGTTACCAAAAGTGGTTACCAGTTTGTGACCTGTGACCTAGACAAATCCTATCTGTCCTTATTTAAGACCCAGCTTTAGTGTTGAGTCTCTTAAAAAAAAAAACCCTTCTTCCACTGATACATCTCCTCTGACGTTCGCCATATTTCTAGTGTCTTTTGTGCAATATGGCAGCTATCAGCTCCCTTGTGTGGTATAATTTGCATCTCTGACTTAGCTCTAATTTCCTTGAAGGCATCTCTCACAAAGCCTAGTCCAGGGCCAGAACAGGCATTCAGTGAAGAGCACCAGTTGTTACACAATAACCATCAGAACAGAACCACGTGCCACCCCCCAGGGACATTCAACTGATTTTCACTCATTGATTCACTCACCAAACTTTGGCAAGCACCTATTACACTATCAGCACAAGGTTGGGAGCTATGGGCTAACATTAAAAGAAAATGGATCTCTGCCCTTGACGAATGAGCACTCGAACGTGGAGTTCAGATATACTGAAGAAGAATGAAATATGAAATCAAAGCTACATTGTTGCTCAAAGTGCACTGCGTGGCCTTCACAAAACTGTTGTAAGGCAGCACTTTCCACTAGAACTGTAACCTGAGTCACATATGTATTTTTAATCTTTCTAATAGTCATGTTAAAAAAAAACATAAGAAGCAGGTAAGAATAATCTTAATATGTTTTATTCAGAGGGGAGGAGCAAGATGGCAGAGAAGGAGACCCTGTTTCAACTGGTCCCCTGAATTGAGCTAAATATCTACCAGAATACTCTGAACACCCAAGAAATCAGCCTGAGATGTAAGATTATACACTTCTGGATCTCTACAGGGGCAGGAGATCATTCATGGAGAGGTGTACCTTGCCTGAATCACAGTTGATATACTCAGCTCTACATCCCCTCAACCACTTCTCACCAAAATGACTAGGAGGAGGAACACTCAACTGAGGAAAAATTCAGGGACTGTGCCCTCTGCCACAGAACTATTGGATATGGACATAAACAGTATGTTGGAAAGAGAATTCAGGGTAACAATTATCCAGGCAATGGCTAGGTTGGAGAAGACCATTAGTGGCAACATAGAATCTCTAAGGGCAGAAGTGAGAGCTGATCTGGCAGAAGATATGCTTTATTTAACCCACAACATCCAAAGTATCATCATTTTGACATGTAATTAATCTTTTTAAATTAATGAGATATTTTACATGTTTTTGTACTAAACCTTCTAAATCCAGGGTATATTTTACGTTTAGAGCACATCTCAATTTAGACTCACCATGTGCTTTTTTTCAAAGATCGACCAATTGATGTGAGTGAGATATTGAGAGAGAGAGAGACTGAGAGAGCATGAGTTGGGGGAGAGAGAGAACCTCAGGCAGACTCCACACAGAGCGCAGTGCCCAACACGGGGCTCAGCCTCACCACCCTGAGATCAACACCTGAGGCGACATCAAGAGACAGACCCTTAAACGACTGAGCCACCCAGGTGCCCCCAGACTCGGCCCATGTTAAGTGATCCATAGTCACCTGTGGCTTGTGAATACCATATTGGACAGTGGAGCAAGGGAGGGGGTTGCTCCTTACCTTACTGCCAAAGTGGGGATTGATAAACGTCACATCGTTAAAAGTCAGTAGAATTCTATTGGGTCCTTTAATCAACTGGATTTTATTTATACGACACCTGAAACAAGTGTAAAATCAGAGGGTCACAGGGAGCTGGGTATTTTGTGAACCCAGGATAAATTTGCCCTGTGATGGAAGTTTTAAAATATACAAGATAATGGGGAGACTAAATACACATAAATCTTTACCCTCATACCCAGAGCAAAGAGAAACAGCAACCCTGACTCTCACCACTCACAGAATTACAAAGACCAAAAGAGAAAAATGAAGATGCTATTGAAGAGACATCAAAAGGGAAGGATGAGGCTGCTGCATGGGGACAGTAAGTCAGACTAATAAAATGGCGATTCCCCCCCCAAAAAATGGTGATCCCACATCAAGAGCACATTCAAAACAACACCTTGCAATACTCATAAAGAACTCACCACCTTTTCTCATATGCCACAGTACATATTCTAATAATAGCCAGGCCAAGAAGCATTCATCTCCATTTTATAGGCACAAAAACACATTCAAGAAACAAAACAAAATTAAGCAAATTGTGCAATTCCCTAGCCTGAGGCAGAGCTGGGACTCCAGTCCTCGGTCCCTGGCTGCAGGCCCAGATTTCTGTCCACAAGACCACTTGTCTTGTGAAGTAGCATCTATGCGTTGCCAAAGCAACAGGTTGAAAAGTGGAAAAATTCAATCAGTTGGTTGCTTTGTCTACATGATTCCAAACAAGTAGGCTGACTGGGTTTTTTTTTTTTTCTTTTACTGAATTGGTCTCTTGTCTGTGCATTACACAGACACAATTTAAACCTGATTCTCTTCAAACATGCCCATTAATTTGCAGCAAATGTAATTATTTCCTATAAATCAATTACTAGACACATAGGAGTTTTTGATGTCTACCCACACTGCCAGGTAGGTCATCTCAGTTGAGCTGACCCGGCAACTTAAGGACCTGAAGGATACCTTGGATTTAGTCTGTGTGGTTGTTTTGTTCTGTTTTGTCTTATGGGTGCTGACAGCTACAGTTTGGCTTCGCTTTTTCCACAACCCCTTAATGGCCACCCTATGGAACGTATTAGAGCCTGTGCCAGAGTGTGGAAAACAACCACTGAATCAAAATGCTTTGTCAAGTTACTGTAAGCAAGTCTGCGATGTCACTGTAGCTTTAAGCACCAGTAACACTGTCTGTTTTTCTCAGTGACTCCACTGGTTTTTAAACAAACAATTAATGTGTTTCTAATTGTCTGCCCACAAGTATGACCCTTATCACTGTGGGAGCTGCTGCCCTGTGGTGAAAATTAAAAGCACCCTGTAGTGAATTCTTGGGTAAAGCACATGAATCTTTTGGTGAAGTAAAGCTTCGCCCCCTAACTTATCTGTTTCATATGTGTGGTGATGTCTTAAAGCAGGCACACCTGTGAAAATAACCATGCTACACACTCTCGTAGAAAGACAACTGGACTCCCAATCCAGAGACCTGGGGTGCAGTGCAGATTCTGTCATTCATTAGCCAGATGACCTTGGGTAAATAATTTAACCTCTTCGTGCTCCGTGTCCTCATCTGTCTAGCCAGATAATGGTTTGTGCGTTACCCGCTTATAGAGTTGTTTTGAAAATCAAATGAGATAATACATGTGAAAGTGCTTCAAAAAGCATGAACACCATGAAAGTATAAGAGCTCATTATTATCATTATCATCATTAGTTTTACAAAGCACTGAAGAGCTTTATAGAAAGGCGAGGCAATCTGGTTCAGAGTCGGGAGAAAGGACGAGTTCAAAGAATCCTTTGTTTTGGGGGTGGTTGGGTTCTTTGCACATCTTTCTTTCTGGAAAAAAAAAAAACTTAAACAATCAAAACACAGAGAAAAGGAAGGAACAGAGAGTCACTCTCCTGCAAGTAATCACCATCTATTACAGACACTCATCAGACACTCAGTTCTGATTGCAGCCGTGGTGGGCAGAGAGAAGGAGGCAGGCAGCAAAGAGAGGGCATCTTTTGTGCTCTGTTAGCTGAAGTACCAAGGACCAAGTAACTCTGGGAAATGATGTGCCGCTCTCCCATCTCTGAGTTTTCGGTGACCACTTCAAGTACCAATTGTCTCAAACTCATTTTCCTCTCCAATCATGTCCATCTCCAATCATGTCCCTCTCCAGCCTTCTTGGCCCTTCAGCCCACAAACTCCAAACATTCCCCCCTTGTGATTTTATAGACTTTTCCCCCTTGCCTTCACAAGAATTGCAGATTGAGCTCACTCTAAGCCGAAAGAACCAGTCCTTTCCATGGGAAAGACCAGTGAGGCCAGTCACTGGAGGGGGGAAGGTAAGGTGGGAGGTTGACAGGTAACCTAAGCAGCTTAGTGACTCCGTTTTCAATCTTGCCACGGGATGTTTTGGCATTATGTAGCCAGAGCCCACTACTCTTCAAATCTCCCTAGAGAGGGGAGATTTCTGATTAGATGACATTTATTTTCCCTAAGCATAGTCTAATGATGTTAACTCAATACTCTGGTCTTCGGCAGCAACTAAACTCAATACATTAAATTTCTGTTCTGAGCCAGAGTATGTCACAGTCGCAGAAATTAAAAAGAAGAACCACCTTCGATATAATGTTTTTGTTAAGTGTGTTTTAACAATTCACATGATACCCACCACTCTGTATGGCTTTATCAAGTTTCTAATATAAGGAAATTGAATAAGAGTGGTTTTGGGGGGGTTTTGTTTGTTTGTTTGTTTTTTGCTGTTATGCCAACATACTAAACACTAAGAGTACCACCTGTTAGAGTTTCGAGCTAGGATTTCACAGACTCATTATAACATCAGAACTGGAAGGGCTCTTCAAGTTCACTTAATCCAATCCCTTCATTTTACAAATGAGAAAATTCTGGCTGAGAGAGGTATAGTGCCTTGTCCAAATTTACACAGCTGTTTAGTACACTCTGGATATTTTTCTCAGAACTTGCCAAAGGAGATCCACTCTATTCCCACCAAGTTCGTGTCATATTGTTGTGAGGACCACTCTTACAAAAAGATAACAAAGGTGTGGTTAGCAGGATGGAAAGTGTGAAGTGGGAGGGTCATGGTTGATTTCATTTTTTACTTTCCCCAAATCATCTTAATTTGGGGAGAGGTCAACTGTTAAAATGCCAAGATTATGAAAAAGGAGCATCCTATTAAGCCATCTTCAGCCATGCCATTTATGCCCCGATCCTGAATTCATTCATCAGAGTAGTTGGTCACCTTTTATGGGATCTGAGGGAGAAAGACAAAGACATGTTGATAATGATGACGTTGATGATTAGCTAGGATAGCTTTTGTCCAAGGAAGAAGGACAGTGTGAATCTGGAGTATAATACCCATGGCAAAAGGTATGAGTGTCAAAGTGAGGGTTCTGGGCTCCCAATAATCAGTGGGAGAATCCCATGTGCCTGGGCAGGAGATAGGACTTTACCACTCAGAGTGCCTCCTCTGAGTCAGGTATTATTCTAGGTGTTTTACATACTTCAGTTTATTTAATAATCCTCACTACAATCCTGGGAACTAGGACCATTATTCCCAACACCTGGATTCTTGCCAAAGTCTGACTAATTCTTGGAACTAGTTAAAATATCCCAATTTTATTTTGTCCTAGTCCATACCATTTGAGGAAAGAGGTGGGTAGTGGAGACTGCCATTGGAAAAGGGAGCACAGATAGGGAGTACACAGACCCTAAAGTACTAGTTCTCTTATTTCAGGATAATGGGGCAAGCCAGATTTACTCACAGACAACAACACCGACAACACAGCTGAGGAAGTTATTCTTGGCATCATGAAAACACTTCACTCTAAATGGGGCCAGTAGGGACAGTAAACCGCTATGGAAAACAGAAAATCAGTTGGTCATGTAATGAGGAAATTGTACTGAAACATGACTTCCTGGAAGTAAATTTTAACAAAGCTATTATGGCCTTTTACGTTTATATAAAAAAAATGTACCATATAAAGTAAGCAAATCCATTAATAGCAGGGCTATAAGCAAAGCAAGTCAGACCATCACACAAAGACATTGTCAATGTCTATAGAGAGCAAGAGGAAGAATTGCATTACCAGAGAGAAGCTGTAAATGAAGGGCACCACGAAGCAGCTCCTCGTGCTTTCTGGTGAGTCTAAAATCAAGCCACATCTACCTAACTTAATTCCATTTTTCTACAGCACAGTATGTCTTGTTGACTTTATGGACACAGAAAGCAATTTCACTGTTCTGAAGCAAAACCACTCACCACTCTGACAATAACAAATCACATGAATTAAGGGTGACCTGGGTGTTGCTTTGGAGGAAAAAGTCCATGAATGGAAAATTCTGAGTACCTTAATTTAAGGTGGATGGCAATAGAATTTTTGAGAATAAATATGTTATCTCACCTGTGAAGGGTAAGTATTATGTCACCTTCATAAAATAAAAGACATTTTAAATTCACTAGAGTCCATAGACCTTGTGCGTTATAGATGAAAAACATAGCACTTGTCCTTCAGGTGTGAGTCTGGTTTTGATAATTAGGTTTTCGCCGAGATGTAAATTACCCTCTAGGAAACCTAAACATTTGGATGGATTACTAAGATTTCAGAAGGAAATATATGATGACGCTAACATCAGGGTAGTAGGGTATGTCATGCTCAAGCAAATTAGAAACTGAAGTCCATTTCAAACAGATGCATTTGGTTTTAGAAGGGTGTGGTGTACACTCACACAGGAATAATATGGATCCTTCCAAAGTTCCCCTCTGGCTCTTAGAGATTGGATGGAATTTCCACTCTTCCTCAAGCTAGAGGAGTTCCATCAGTTAATCTAACTGCAAGTATTTATTGGACACCAACTGTGCTGGTTGGGGGGGTGCACACATAAGAATTATTAGCTATGGTACCTGCCCTCAAGGAGCGGTATGTTTGGGAGGGGGAGAGACAATCAATACACAAGAAACAATTGAAAAGCAATTTGGTGCTAAGCTGTGAGGTACAGACTTTTAGTTCAGTGGGAGTTCAGAGAAGAAAGGGTATAGAAATGATATCTTGATGCAAACTGACTGACAGATTTTGTATACATCAAGGGAAGAAGCGGTGATCTTTCTAACGGAAAATGATCACAGGTCATTGTCAACAATAGACTGAGGAAAAGATTCAGGCCTTCCTCTTCTTAGAGTAACCTCTTTGGAAGTGGGATCATTATGAAAATGAGTGAGGGTGGCTTTTAAATTGTAGATGATTTTCCAAGGCTGTAAAATAGCTCTCATCTTCATTATTTTAAATTAACTACCTGGAATGCCAAGATGTTTATCTCCCCGGAATGCAAATGACTGATTCTTTGAGTGTTCCAGTGTTAAAAGACACCTTCCCTTAAATAGGTTCCCTTGTAACCCACGCTGAGCCAAATTGACTACCAATGATTTTTTCTATTCCTTACCTCGACAGATCTTCCCTTCTGCAAACCAGCATTGTGCATCTGCTCGAGGGGGCCTGCCACCAGCCGTTTCCATGTCCACAGTGTAAGTGCTATAGAGTTCCCATTCTTTCCAGCTGGTGTCCAGGATTACATATGCTGCGATTCCATTTCCATTTGAATCTGTCCTTATCAACTGGCTGAATCCATAGAACTGCGTGTTTCTGGAATGCTGAACCAGGCTGGCAGCACTAACCCGTCCATTTTCTTTCATAGCATTATTCATGGCTTGTGCGATAAAGTAAATTGAATTATAGGTGGTTCCAAACAATGGTGAAATATATTTTTAAAAATTACAATTATCTTGAGCCCTGGTCGCCCTAGAGCAATCTCAGAGTGTATTCCAAGCCTGTGTTCATTATTATGGGCTGCACGTCTGAGTGGAGGAGAGCTATGAAGACCCAGAGGAAAAAAACAATTGTTTCTGAGGACTTGCTTGGTTTCTCCCCCAGGCCTTCACATCTTTAAATATATCAAATATGACAATTTTATGAGCAAACCAGTCATACGCAATATATTTTTATGCTCCTAAACTAAGAAAGTGATTTAGAGTTATAAAGGACACTAAAAAAAACAAGTATGGAATAGACAAGAGGCACGCAAAGGAGATTTACCAGGTTAATTACCAGTGCATTATGCGTGATAAAATCATTTTGCTGGCACTACTAGAATGGAAGGTGAGTGTGGTAAGACTGTAAGTAATGTGTTTCCACAGTCCATGTCTGTGTCCTGTCTTAGTCCAAAATGGCTCTTCTAGACACGTGCTCCCCGGAGAAAGTGAATGCTAGAATACAGTTTGAAACACACAACCCCACACATACACATGCAAACATGCATCTGTATGATACATAGATACACATACACTCCCCCAAAGACAGTGCCAAGTGTTGTAATGCATGGAGAATGTGGGTTTTAATCAACAAACCCTATATCCTGCTGGTGTCCAAAGAGGCAAAGCTTTGTTGAGAAGCCACCGTAAAGGAGTAAGGCTTCTACAGAGGATAGCGTGACTCTGCCTGCCATACATTTAAAGTAAAAGCAATAGCATTTGGTGTACTATCCCTGACACACTGCTTAGTGACCTAGTAAATTTGGTTTTGGAACAAACTTGTATCTATTCCAAAAAGGTAGGGAGGAAGAGAGAACAATCCCTCCCTCAATCCCTGCCCATCCCCGCCACAGGCCATGGCTTCACGGTTTTCCATAATATTTCACCTCTAGAATGGAGTTCAAGAAAGCGATGGTCATGCCATTTTACTGAGCTTCAGAGAAAGCTGATACTTGCTACTTTGGTTTCACCAGGACTAGAAAGCTATCTTCCTCCTTCATCTGAATAAGAGGGTTTAAAATTGAGTGGATCATTTTTGTGTTGGAAAGACCCGTCAAGATGCAGAGAATTATAGTAGCAGCTAGCAAGACAATGCCATGCCCTGTTGACAGAGCAGCGTGTTGTCAATTACCCAAGGAGTATCAAAAATACCAATGCAAAACCCAATGCAGACAAACAGAATGAGATACTTTAGGTTTGGGATCCAGTAATCAGTATTCCTGAAGTGCCCCAGGTATTCTAATACACATACGTGGGTTAAAACAATACAGAAGAAGAAGACACAGTAGCCTGTGGTCTCTTCCTAATACCAGAATGTTAGGCAAATCATTTATACCCTCTCCCTGGGCTTCAGTTTCTTCCTCTCTAAAATGTCTAGAACCACAAACGTCTACAGTTGGAGATCATTGGGTCTGTCTCTCTCTCTCTTTAGACAGGAAAGGGAGGCTCAGAGTAGTTCAATGATCTGTCAAGGTCACTGACTGGGGCATAAAATCAGGACTAGAACACAGGTTATCTGTTCTTAGTTTAGCATTTTTGCTTGAAATAGGCATTACCTGAAGTCTTTTTTAGGTGCGAAGTCCTTGGTCCTCTTTCCTAGCAACACTCACTCCATTGGGGATCTCCCTTGGTCTCATGGCTTTAAATACCACATTTATACTATAAATCTCAGATTTATACTTCCAGCCCAGACTGTTTGCTAAATTCCAGGCTCATAAGTCAACTACCTACTCTGATATCTTTACATGGACACTAGTTTTCAATGTACCCAAAATCAAGCTCCTGATTTTCACCCAAAAATCTTCCTGCTTCATCTATAATGATCTTCCCCATTTTTGTTAAGAGCAGCTCCATTCTTCCAATGGTTCAGGTGAAAAACCTTGCCCCAGATAACAGAGCTAACTAAGAGCAGGGCAGAAATCAACATTTCAGTTCCCTGAGTGTTTGTCCAGGGATGTCTCTCCACTGACTCGCCTTAACACACACTATAGAAGGAGGCATGGTGAACAGGTGTCATGTGCATCCACAGTTAGTCACCTAACACACACTGAGGTCCCTAAAAGCATTTTCACTAACTTTCCCTTTTGACTTTCTCAGATGCTCCATTTAATTGTCCTCAGGATTTTTGCGAGAGCCTGCCTGTTTTCTGGGGCTTTGGTAGGTTATGACAATAAGTTAAGGCTGGAAGGTGGAGTATAAAATCAATACTAGTAAAACAAATGAGTGTAAGAAAAAAAAAAAACAGGGCAGCAAGCCCCTGAAAGCAGAGAAAATGCTAGTATTCTGTTTTGAAAGGCACGGAGCCTTCTGGGAAAGAGACTGTATCTACCTACAGCCAAAAGCAAAGATTGAAACTATTAAAAAACAACACCCTCACCTTTGAGTTGACCCATCTCACAGGATTTTCAGCTAGTCAGGCTATGTTGCCTTCTGTGTTCTTGGAGTGACCCCTATTAGAGCTGACTGACAGCAACTCTCCAAGATGACTGAAACCTGAAGCCTGTTTTTCAGGATTCTCTAGCCTCCACCACATAGCACACCTGCCCACGTACATGTGTGTGCGTGTGCGCATGCGTGCACACACACACACACTCTCTACACACGTGCGTGTGCATACGTGCACACACATACACAAACAGATCCACAAAAATAGAGGGACCTGAAGCTAAAGGAAAGGGCATAGCTGTAACAATAGCGTTCAGTTGCAAAAGAACTGTCACAAGGGCCCACTCTCACTGTAAGGGCTTGAATTTGTGTCCCAGCTGGTTTGTGTTGCTGTTTCACCCACTGTGCCCTTCGGTGCCCTTCAGTAGTAGAAATTGTCCCTTCCTGTAAGTCAAAGGCACACTCTGTGAGCATTGGTCACAAAAGGTCTCCAGCTGCAGCTGCTGCAAATAATGAAAGAAGAGGTAGAAGATGGGGTGAGGGAAAAAAGGCCGTCTCCACGCCCTCTGTCCCCGCTTCTGACTACAGCTCCAAAGAAGCATGATAGGATTGGCAGAAGTTTCTGTCAGGCGGATGACCTTGTTGACATCACACTCATGACTCAATCTATTAGTTTTGCCTGCTGCATAGACCTGAACCTGATTGAATGAATTATGAATAAATGAATGACGATTGATTGTTTGTTATTCAGCAAATTTATCTAGTTCTACCCCAGGCTTCTTGGAGTTTGGTATCCAAGAAAACAAGGTCTGGGTCAGGAGCAGTGATCTTCGAATTTGTTCAATTTAATGGTTCATGTTGTTGTTAAGTTGACCATCATCAGTTCCGATTTACTGTGCTCACAAGACACAAAACAGGCTTCCAAAGTATTTTGTCCTTAGAAACATAGATTGAAACATAACCTGGGTCAGAAAGCATCATTTGATGGACAAAATGGCAACATCACTTTTGAACAAAAAGCCAGGCATGTGCAGAGATCAAGAAACCAGATGGTAATCAAATTCCTCTTATTCAACGTGGTACCTCCAATGCATTATCTCAACACTTAGACTTAGCCAAGAGATGGCTAATAACCCAATCTATTTGATATAATACTCAGGAATATAATACCTTTATTTTTATAGAATGATCCCCTTATTGTTTTTATAGAATGATATACAAAGATAAGTGTAGCCATTGTAAGCAGCAGGCAACCTTTCCTGACAAGTGTCTGGTGGGCCCCATCCTGGAATGCTTCAGCCCTAACCACGTCCCCTGACAGGCACACATATTTAAGCTAATAGAAACCAGTGGGTTCCAGGAGCTTCAGGGCCCCCTGGGCTTGCTGAGAAATCCAGAGGATTTCCTTTGCTTAGGCAAATAAGGCCACATTTGGAAAAATTATCCCAAATGTGTGTTCTAGCAATATGCATTTGTAGCCAGTAGCATTTTCCTGAAAACAAGCATTAGGAAGACAGCAAAAGTAAAGGATGTAGGCACTAAAACCTTACTTCAGAAGTCAAATTTTAAAGGTATAAAGTGATAATCTTTGCCCAATCATCCTGAGACTAAATTAGGAAGTTTGTCACTGGCTTCCTACCCCCCAATCCCTCCATTTTGATTCATTGTTGTCTCTCTCTTTTTTAAAAAAGATTTTACTTACTTATTTGAGACAGAGAAAAAGAGAGCAAGCATGAGTTGGGGAGAGAGGCAGAGGGAAAGGGAGGAGGAGACTCCCTGCTGAGCAGGGAGGTAGATCCTAGGATCCGGAGATCACGGCCTGAGCTAGAGGCAAACTCCCAACCGACTGAGCCACCCAGGCACCCCTGATTTACTGTTCTCCTTTCATGGGTCCTCATAAAGTCCTAGTACCTCCTAGGTTAGAGGAAAACAATCTGAAAAACCCATTCAAATCAAAGTGTTAGTCACTTAGCAATATTACATTGAATAAAGCATTGGACATGGGATACAGTGTAATTTATTACGTAGTTAAATGGTCAGGTTCTGTTAGCAGATCAGTATTGGAATCCCAGCCCTGCCACTTGCCAGCAGCTGTATGACCTTGGAAAAGTTACCTTGAGCCTCAGTTTCATCATCCATGAAGTAGAGATAATAATACCTAATTTGTAGGCTTGATCTACAGATCTGATGAGAACATTTATATTAATTACTAGGCACAGAGTAAGCACTGAATACATGAGAGCTGCTATTATTTGCACTTCAGAAGAGGAACACAGAACTCTAATAATACCATCCTGGAAGAATAGTGGTCAAGTACCTTATAACAGTCTTGAATTTGTGACCAATAAGTAAAAATCCCAATTTTATTTTATTCTATCTTAAGATTTTTTTATTTGTAAGTAATCTCTACACCCAATAGGAGGCCCAAACTCACAACCACGAGATCAAGAATTGTACACCCTACTAGCTGAGCCACCTTGGTGCCCCTAAAAGTCCCAATTTTAGACCCAGTGTTCTTAGCACCCTAAAATGGTAAAACCGTTCCCCTTCATTGGGGAAAAGACCTTATTTCTATTTTGTTCTCCATGGT